ACACCTACCCTGCACACAGGTAGATTTTTAAATATCCCAGACACTCAAAACTCTAGCAAGTGAGGCTCGATCTGTCCACGAACCCTACCTGCCTTGCCACCAGCCTCATCTTCCAGGGACATTCCTGTTATCTTCTGAAGTTCCTTGTCTCATATTTTTTTTTCTCTCCATTCCTCCCACTCAGCACAGTGAGAATAAAACTTTCAAAGCAAGCTGTCTGTGCATTACCCTGTGAGTAAACAGCACCACCTGAAGTCACTATCCCTTACCCTTTTCTGAATTAACCTCCTGCAATCATACAGCAAATTGTACAGCAGCAGAGGGAATAGGTGATTTTTCATAAAATATTTCCTGTTATCCTCAGATTCTTTGCAGAAAAGATTGCCTGCTCTATACAAAATGAAACGCTCTAAGACGAGAGCATCCAAAGAAAGGCTTCTGCTTAAGCTAATGCAAACAATTAATTGTCAAATGCAGGCAGAATTACTTGACAGCTCTAAAAAAAAATACAAGCTGTGGTGTGTTGTTTTTTTTTCTTTAAAAACCATGTAGGCTTTTCTGCTTCCCCATTTCCAACTATAATCAAGGGAAAATTTTTATTTTGGCTGGCAAATACAGTGCTGAATTATAATTGCAGCTTCGCTGACCTCAAATGTAGTATTTATGCTTTTGCTTTTAAAGTTAAACACCACTTCACATTAAAAAGTGCTAGAAGCAGTAAGATTTTATCTTTTAAAAATGCTGGTAGTAAAGTCATGGCAAAAGTAATGAAATTTCACCATTAGAAGCTAAGAGAAGAATGAGGAGGAAGTACTTAATTAAAGAGAATGTCATTTTTAAATGAGAAAAAACAGGGCATTTAAACAGTCTCTTCTTTCCTCTGTTATCAGCTTTAGGTTTAATAATGGTAAAGAAAATTTCAAGCTTTTTTTTTTTTACTATTGTTTTTGACAGCACTGTACTGAACACTATGAAAATGATGAGGAGAAAGACAGCAATACATGCATTTCTAACTCAGTTTTATGCTGCCAACATTTTAATAGGCTCCCTTCCCATACCCTTTCCTCAGCTATTGATTCAGCCTCTGTGCTGCAGAGAATTAGTAAATAAGAAGTCACAATTGATTTTTTCTTGTTTTCATAACCGGAGGAAAAAAGGAGAAAACAACTCTTTTCCAATTAGTCTGTGCTGGCTCGTGTTGGAAATAGCAATGTTTTATTTCTCATCACATGGATAGCTTGCACCTCAAGGATTCTGTAAGGGAAATCACTTCAGCAATTAGCACTATTCATCTGACTGTCAGAGGCGGTGTTGGCTATTAATAATAAATTACCTCTCTTGCAAGCTTGGGCTTTTCTGTGCTCCTTTTACACCTAGATTGCAACAACTGTTTTACCAAATTAGATCTGGTAACCAGACCAGTTAGAGAGCAAGACAGAAGCAGGACGTTTGCTTCTCTCAACCCAAAGAACAAGAGCCATCAGGAAAGTCTGCATCTTCAGCAGAGGAATTAATACAAAAAGGAAAATCTGCCCTAAGGGAGAACTGCGGTGGATGTGCAGAACCACGGAACTAGAACAGGACAGACCCATACACAGAGAGGAAAGCCACTTTGCACAGGTCCAAGTTTTTCCAATAGCTTTTTAAAAAGAAAAATTAAGCTAAAAAATCCTTTCTTTCGTTTAAATGAACGACTGACTATTCAGATTCTACCAGCACTCTCTTTTTGCTGTAGCACTTGCCTGCTAACCCACATAATATCTAACAAACTGAACTCTAAACTACAGGAACTGAGGCACAGGCACATTGAGCCTATAACACCTGAATCATAAAAAAGTGCATGAAACACTGAATACTCACTTCCACCTTTTCTTGAGGTGTGATGGATCTTAGCACAGATGCAGTGATAGAAATGGAGCTGCTTCCTCTCCCAGGCCACGCAGCAAACAGCCCACCTGTGAAGTCGTAACCACTGGCCATCCATTTGCTTTAATGCAACATCAAGTTTGTGGTGGACGAAATAAAACGATCAGTTCAAAACCTAATACAAATTGTAACTTTCCAGTAGAAGTTTGCGGGTTTGGGGGTTTTGTTTGTTTGTTTGTTTTTTAAATAAACAGTTTAGTTTTTTTTAAATAGCCTACTGGGAGTCTCCTGTCACTGAAGACAAGAAGTTTGAGTTTCCTTTTCACAGAACAAGGACATAAATGCTCGGGTTTTAAAATTCTTTGAATTAAATTTTTGCTAGATTCAGTGAAAGATGAGTATTCCCTCTGACCTAGACAGCAGAGGGAGTGACCTAGCCATCATGAACTTTGATGAAGAGTACGTTTGGTACAAAGCAAACATGACACGGAAAAGTAAAAAACAAACAACAGCAATAGAAGGAAAAAACCCTCACAACAAAAGCGAAAGTAGTGTTTCACTTTTGCAATGCCACTAACAAATGTTTACAACACTAGTGCGTTTGAAAACACTGGTTTGCACACAAAATAGATAAAATGCACAGCTGCGTTGACCTGGGTATTTCATGAGACCTTAACTTCATCTTTAGGGTGCATAGGAGAAACAATATTTGAAGCAGAGACTCGGAATTTGACCGAAGTAATTGTTTGCAAGTACACAAATACCATAATACTGTAATACAGAAGATTAGTTACCATTCTTTTCACAGCTACTACACACTCCCAAGGAACTATGTGCAAGCAACGCAGTTCATGAACACCAGCAATGCCATAGTGGTCTGCACTGCTACATCTTAACTTCAAGCTACTTATGCTACAGAAAAGGTAGGCTTCACATACATAAATCTTAAAAAGTAAAATACACTGCCGTATCTGTAAAATAAAATTCATTTACTAGAAGTGCCATTGTAGAAACTCCAGAGAGCTAAAAAGGTAGGTTTAGGATATTTTATAATTATACCTCTAAAAAATTTTAAGATTCTCTTTTTTCCTCAGCTCTCAGGAGTGTAAGACAAACACTTCCTGAAGAAGGACTTCAAACAGGGCACTTTCTCTGTTATCTAACAGCATTAAGCACCTATTTCTAGACATTTTTTAAAATCTGCAAATGACGTCTTACTTAATATTGATCATCCTGCACCCCAGAGAACAGCAATATTTTTGAAGGAATTCCTTGTAAATAAAAGATTTTTTAATCTGTTTCCTTGACAGTGGACCAAAGACTGGGAAATCTGGAAAAGCCCCACAAGGCAAATGAGCTCCCATGGTTTAACTGAGATACTTCTGTATATAAATCACGCACACAACAATACCTGTAAGACGTGGTACATGCATTGCATCTCCAGGTCAAATTATTACTTCAGCTGAGATAAATGTAGAAAAATGCAGTATTTAAATTCATATACTCACTATTTGCCAAATCTTTTGATATATCCCTTTGCAAAAATGGCAACTGCTGAATGAAATGTTATCAAATGAACGTAACAAAGGAGAACACGGATAAATAACTCACTTAAACAGCTCTGAAGAATTCCCAAGTATTATGTTGTGCCATTCATTTGGGATTATTGAGGCTGACAGTTCTGTCAGTTTGCAATTTGCAGCATAGGAAGGTTCTTAATAAACTAGTTTTACAAACTGTCATCGAACACATTCAGCACATCAGAAGTTAATGCATCACTTTCACGATGCAGAACAGCTCTGCCCTTCACCATCCTCCCAGCTCTTCATTAACTCTTCAGAAGTTTGAGCATCTTAGATACTTCAGGAAAAGTTACACGAACCACATGAGAATCAAAATATCGCACACCGTCACTTCACCAAGTATCTTTGCTTCACAGATGTGAAAAAGGAAACAGAGACCGAGTACTGCCCTGAGGCACAGAAGCAGACTGTGTGAAAACCCCATCTATAACCCACAAATTATGAACCTTGCTCTCTCTTTTTTTTTAAAGGTTAAAAATACTGTGCAAATATTTGTCAGTGAGCACCATATAGAAATAACCACCTCTTTAAATTTTTGTATCAATATGCTAGAAAAGTAAATTTACAAAATAAGTGAAAGCACCCCACATAGCTATTTAATTTTTTTTCATTTTAACAACTTTACAAGGTAGTATTTCAAAAAAAACAGATCTACCACACCAGCTCAAGACTTCGAGAAATTTTACTTCTATTTTTAATTATGCAAAGAATGAGAAGGCTTAAAACTTGAAAGCAGCACGGAAGCTGTAGGTAAGAGTGGCCAGAAAACTACCGAGAAACTATACACATTTTCTTTATCTTTCCGGAGACACATACAGGAAAGAGGTAAAAATAGATTGTATTCCACTGCAGTCAAACTTACAGTCTTTCC